AGCTGGAGGATAATCCTGTCCACCTGCTGCTCACTCAGGCGCCCAAGGCCTGTGAGGAAAGGCATGTCCTGGACCAGGCGGTCACAGTAGGTCTGCTCTGAAACAGAAGCATAGAACACAGAGGGAATGAGCCAGCTCAGCCCAAAAAGAGGTGGCGAGACCCACACACCATGATGCAGCCATGGCAGGGACCCCTCGCAGCAAGGTCCCCATGCCCACCAAGAGGTGTACCAGCTGTAAGCATCTGGACAACTGCTGACATCCCAGCTCATGCACAGCCCAGAGTTCCCCCATGTCACGCCAACACCCTTGCCAGAAAGTGGGGTGAGTGGGTGTAGTGATAAAGGTTCAGAGTGCTCAAAAGCAGAGCAGAGTCTCTGGCTCCTATCTTTTATGCCTGAGAGCTTATCGCAAAAAAACTCAGAAGGGCGAAGAATCTGCTGTCTGTTGGGCCCCCTCAGTGTCCTCTGGAAATAGCCAGGCCCAAGGAAGGGCACGGGCAGCCTGGAGAAGGCCCAATCTCGAAGCTCCTACAATCGCTGTTGTTGTTTGGAGTGGCCTGTGCTGGCATGGCCACCAGACACAGTGTATCTGCAAGGCCTTGAGAAGCTGCCACCAACAGCAGACCAGCATGCTTGCTGCCCAGGAGGCTGGGGAATGCCTTTTCTTTTGTTTTTTCTTTCAGAATCACCATTAAAGCATCACTGTTGCACTATCTTTCCCATTAAGAATGTCCTTTAGAATAACAAGTCTTTAAAGGCAAGGGGTGGGGAGAGGTTGGTGGGCAGTTGACAAAGAAATCTCTGAATCTCTGAGGGAGGGTCCCAAGTTCCTGCAGCACTAGCTGCCTGAACAAGTGTACCACCTTACCTACCTGTGGCAGCTTGTCCTGTTTCCTGGTGGACCCAGGGGATGGGGGGTAGGCAGAGCTGTACAAGAGGAGAGTTTTTATATGTGAATGAAGTTAAGTTGGTATCAATTCAAATTAGATAGCTGTAACTTAAGGGTATTATGTATAATCCTCATGGTAACCACAAAGAAAATGTCCACAGAATATACACAAAAGGAAAGCAAAATGTGTTACTACAGAAAATCAACACAAAAGACAGGAAGAAATGAAGGAAAAAAAGCTATGAGACATACAGAAAACAAATAGCAAAAAGGGAGAAACAAGTTATCCCTTATCAGTAATTACTTTAAATGTAAATGGATTAAACTCTCTAATCAAAAGACATAGATTAGCAAAGTGGATTTGCAGTATCATGATTTATAATAAGAAATATATATTTGGTCTTTGTCTCAATTCTTGGCACACAGTTTCTAAAACCTAAGGAATTTCCTAAGTGATGAGAGCTGTGAAGGTGAAAGGATATCTTTTGTTACTCATAACAAGCCCCTTCCAACCTCATCTGACTTTGTATTAATGAGGTGATTTTGGGAAAGCCCCTAAATAACCACAGGGTGGGAGCTGATTGCCAGTGGAACCAACCACGTAATTCGAGGGGTGGAACTTTCAATCCTCCCCATCTCACTTCCCCCTGCAATGTCTGGGGAGGGGAGAGGGGCTGGAGGTTCAATCAATCACCAGTAGCCAATGATTTAATCAGTCATGCCTACCTAAGGAAGCCTGCATAAAACCCCCCAAAAATGGGGTTTGGAGCACTCTAAGTTACTGAATATGTGGAGGTGCTGAGAGGATGGCCTGTCTGGGAGGAGCATGGAGCTTCCATGCTTTGCTTCTCACATGCTTTGCCCTATGCATCTTTTCCATCCGGATGTTCATTTGTATCCTTGAAATATCCTTTGTAACAAATTGGCAATAGTGTTTTCCTGAGTTCTGTGAACTATTTTAGCAAATAGGGTCACAAGGAGAGGGTCATGGGAACTCTGATTTATAGCCAGTCAGTTAGAAGCACAGGTGACAACCTGGATTCATGATTGCTATCTCAAGTGGGGGCAATCTCGTGGGACTGAGCCTAAAGTTAACCTATGGGATCTGACACTATCTCTGGATAGATGGTGTCAGAATTTAATTAAATTATAGGACTCCCAGTTGGTGTCCACCAAAGAACTGGAAAATTGCTTGAAATGTGCCTTAATATATTTTAAAGGACTGACATAATAAAAGGATCTTTTCTGATCACATGCAATAAAGCTAGAAATCAATAACAGTAGGAAAACTGGAAAATTCACAATTATGTGGACATTAAACAACAAATGCATCAAAGAGAAAATCACAAGAGAAATCAGAAAATACCTTGAGAAAATGAAAATAAAAATACAGCATACCAAAATTTAAGGGATGCAATGAAAGCAGTACTAAGAGGAAAATTTACAGCTGTAAATGCACATACTAAAATAGAAGATCTCAAATCAATAACCTAATGTTACATCTTAAGGAACTAGAAAAGGAAAAGCAGACTAAACCCAAAGCTCGTAGAAGGATGGAAATAATAAAGATTAGAGTGAAGATAAATGAAATAGAAAAACAATAGAAAAACAGAAAAACCAAACCAAAAGTTGGTTCCAGAAAAATCAACAAAATTGGCAAACCTTTAGCTAGATTAACAAAGAAAAAAAGAGAGGAGATTCAAATTACTAATATCAGAAATATTACTATGAATTTTACAGAAATAAAAAGGATTATAAAAGAATACTGTGGACATTTATACCAACAAATTGGACAACCTAGATAAAATGGACAAATTCCTAAAAACACACAATCTACCGAAGCTGAATGAAGAAGAAACAGAAAATCTGAAAGGACTTATTACTAATAAGGAGATTCAATCAGTAGTTAAAATGGTCTCAACAAATAAAAGCCCAGAATCAGATGGCTTCACTGGTGAATTCTACCAAACATTTAAAGAACTAATACCAATCCTTCTCAAACTCTAAAAATAAAGTTACCATATGATCCTGCAACCCTACTCCTGAGCATATATCTGGAGAAAACTCTAGTTTGCAACCCAATGTTCATAGCAGCGCTATTTACAAAAGCCAAGACATGGAAGCAAGCTAAATGTCCACTGACAGACGAATGAATAAAGAAGATGTGGTATATATATATACACAATACAATATTACTCAACCATAAAAAGAATGAAATAATGCCATTTGCAGCAATATGGTTGGACCTAGAAATTATCATATTAAGTGAAGTCAGACAGAGAAAGACAAATATCATATGATATCACAGTTTTATGTGGAATCTAAATAAATGACACAAATGAGCTTATTTACAACACAGAAATAGACTCACAGACATAGAAAACTTATGGTTACCAAAGGGAATGGGGGGGGGATAAATTAGGAGTCTGGGATTAACATATACACACTACCAAATATAAAACAGATAAACAACAAGGACCCACTGCATAGCACAGGAAACTATACTCAATATCGTGTAACAACGAACAACGTAAAAGAATCTGAAAAAATATATATGTATGGGGTTTCCCTGGTGGCGCAGTGTTTGAGAGGACGCCTGCCGAAGCAGGGGACACAGGTTCGTGCCCCGGTGCGGGAGGATCCCATGTGCCGCGGAGCGGCTGGGCCCGTGAGCCATGGCCGCTGAGCCTGCGCGTCCGGAGCCTGTGCTCCGCAACAGGAGATGCCACAGCAGTGAGGCCCGCGTATCGCCAAAAAAAAAAAATATATATATATATATATGTGTGTGTGTGTATGTACATATGTATAACTAAATCACTTTGCTGTACACTTGAAACTAACACACACTGCAAATTAACTATATGTCAATTTAAAAACTTAAAAAAAGGAATAAAATACTTAGAAATAAATTTAACCAAGGATGTGGAAGACTTAGATACTGAATCTACAAAACATTGCTGAAAGAAATTTTAAAAGACACAAATAAATGGAAAGACACATCCCATGTTCATGGGTTGGAAGACTTAATATTGTTGAGGATGACAATACTACCCAAAGTGATGTAGGAATTCAGTGCAATCCCTATCCAAACCCCAATAAATGTTTTTTGTTTTTTATCCTAAAATTCATATGGAATCTCAAATGACTTTTATGGCCAAAACAATCCTGAAAAGGAAAGAAGGTGGGTGACTCATACTTCCTGATTTCAAAATTTACCACAAAGCTACAAGAATCAAAACTGTGGTACCAACATAAGGACAGACATATAGACCAATGTAATAGACTAGAAAGTCCAGAAATAAACCCTATTTTGAGTGGGAAAAAAAAAGAGTGAAGACAACCCACAGAATGGGAGAAGTATTTGCAAAGCATATATCTGATTAGGCGTTAATATATACAGGGAGAGAAGATAAAAAGAATTCCTATAACGCAACAACAAAAAATCCTATAAAGTAACCAATACAAAAATGAGCAAAAGGGCTTCCCTGGTGGCGCAGTGGTTGAGAGTCCGTCTGCCGATACAGGGGACGTGGGTTCATGCCCCGGTCCGGGAAGATCCCACATGCCGCGGAGCGGCTGGGCCCGTGAGCCATGGCCGCTGAGACTGCGCGTCCGGAGCCTGTGCTCCGCAACAGGAGAGGCCACAACAGTGAGAGGCCCGCGTACCGCAAAAAAAAAAAAAAGAGCAAAATACTTGCATAGATATTTCTCCAAAGAAGACGTACAAATGACTACTAAGCATATGAAAAGATGCTCAACATCACTAGTCATTAGGGAAATGCAAATCAAACTACGAGATACCACTTCATACACATTAAGGTAAAATAAATACATGGAGAGAGAGAGAATATGAATATGAGGATGAGGAGAAATTGGAACTCTCATGCATTACTGGTGGGCATGTAAAATGGTGCGGCCACCATGGAAAACAGTATGGCTATTCCTCAAAAAGTTAAACAAATACTTCAGCAATTTCATTCCTCAAAAGAACTGAAAGCAGAGACTGAAACAGGTATGTGCACACCAAGTTCAGACTAGCATTATTCACAAAAGCCAAAAGGTAAAAACAACCCAAGTGTCCACAGACAGATGAATAGAGAGACAAAATGTGGTATACATACAATGGAATATTATACAACCGTAAAAGGGACAGAATTTCAGTACATGGATTTGACAACATGGCTGACTGTGAAAACATTATGCTAAGTGAAATAAGTCAGATACAAAAGGACAAACGTTGAATGATTCCACTTACATGAACTATCTAGAATAAGCAAATTCTAAGGAGAAATGGTTAAAATGGTAAATTTTATGTTCTCTATATTTTACCACATACATACATATGAAGGTGAGTGGATAATATGTTAAACTGTGGTTCAGTTTAGTAAGTTACAATAGAATATAATTCAGTGATAAAAAGACCTATGAAGTCACAAAAAGACATGGAGGAAACTTAAATGCATTTTGCTAAAGGTTAAAGAAGCCAATTTGAAAAGGCTATATACTATATGATCCCAAGTATATCATATTCCAGAAAATGCAAAACTATGGAGAACAGTCAAAAGATCAGTGGTTGCCAAGGGTTAGGGAAGAGGGAGGGATAAATATGTAGAGCACAGATTTTTAGCCAGGTAAAACTACTTGTATGATACTGTAACGGTGGACAGAGGACATTACGAATTTTTCAAAACTCATGCAATATACAACACAAGAACTTTAGTCAGTAATACCTAACATTATTAATATTCTATCAATATTGGTTCATTAAGTGCAACAAACATACCACACAAATGCAAGATGTTAATAATACAAGAAATGGGGTGTGGGGACCCTCTGTGCTATCTGCTCCATTTTCTATAAACTAAATATGGTCTAAAAATAAAATCTATTAATTAAAAAGAAATCCTATTTGGAAATTCCGTAGCTGAATTTTAAAGAAAGAAAATGAGAGTCACAGAAAGCAGATGAATTCTTGGATTGGGTGGGGTTCCCTGGAAAGGAGCATGAAGGAACTTTCTAGAGTGATAGAAATGTTCTGTCTTGATTAGGCCTGGGCTGGTTGTTCCATGGGTGCATTCATTAGTCAAAACTTATAGAATTATTCACTAAAAATGAGTGTATTTGTAAGTAAATACTACCTCAATAATGTTGATCTTTTTAAAATAGGGTCATTGAGGTGGAACAAGTGGGGCCTCCTCCCTGATTTCTTCCATGGGGCCAACTCAACAGACTGTCTTTCTCATCTCTCTCTCCTCCTCCTGGATGGTCTTTTCTCCCCCAGAATATGAATTTCTATCTTCTGATTCTCCGAGCCTCTGAAAGTCAACCTTGAAAATGGACTTGTCAGCAGCTCCAACTTGGTGAAGAAGCCATGGACAGGGATGCAGAGAGACCTGCCACCACCACATGGCCGGACCCTCCTGGCCACCTGGCTTCAGCACCTACAACCTCTCTGATTAAAGAGTTAATATTGGCCATAGTTCATGGAGTGTGCCCCAAGCTTGGGCATTCTGTGGGCTCTAGGCATACAGATAATCATCATTCTTCCATCAGCTCTGCTACACAAGCATGATTACCACCCCCATTTTCAGAAGAAACTGAAGCACAACAAGTAGGCTTATCTAAGACCTGCCTAAGACCTCAACCAGCTAGGGAGTGACGTATCGAGGTCAGGACCCAGGCACAGCACAGTGTTGGGGCCAATTCTTGACATCTAAATTTTCTGCCTCTCTAATCAACCTACTAATTAACTATGCAATTAGCTGCATCATGTCTGTTCCTGGCCAAGCCATAGGCTGTCTTGCCCAGCACTACCAGTGTGTGCACCTGTGCATAGTGCCAGCACACACTAAGCACTCATTAAAGAGTTTGGGAATGAATGGACGTAGGTCCAAGGCTCAAGGGCAAGGGCTGTCAGTGGATGGTGGCCAGCATCTTGCAGTGGCTCCTCCTACCCTGCAGGCTGCTAGCCAGGTGAGGCCTCCATTGCCTGCAGCTGCCAGGCACAATGGCATAGCCTGGGGGCCAAAGCTCTGGGCTCTGCTGTGTGCTGTGCTTCCTGTGGTCTTTGTGAGCTGTGCACACAAACCACACCCAAGCAGCCTTTCAGAGGCATGAGAAAGCACAAGAAAGGAAACCACTTTGGTCCCAAGTGCTGATAAACAGTCCCAGACAGTTTTTACAGGACAAAGGAAGAGGAATGCTCTGGCATAAAATTCACCAGACCTTCACCAGCAACCTCTGCTAAGCCCTACCTCCCCCATCATCTTGCCCTCCTGGCAGCACCACAACCATGGACACCCCCGCCCCCCCCACCAACCTGTTAGCCTGGCTTGGCAATAGAGGCCCTGTGGGAGCTGGCCTCACTTGCCCTCACCGGGCCTCCCAGGCCCGAGCCATTCCCGCACAGCAACCCCCAACTGCAGCGTACTGCCCAGGATTCCCGCCCTTGGCACAAGAATACCTGTCCCTGTGGTTTCCGCCTGGCTAACTCATGCTCACTGCCCTCCCGCCAAGAGACCTTCCTGAGCTCCCCTGCCGCCCCACCCCAACCAAAGTCCTGATGCTTGGACCTCAACCTCCCCTCCCAAACTGAATCTCCCAGAATCCCCTCCTGTCCCAGTGCCCAACCTGGCCTCAGGCATGGAGTTGAGATGGCGCACTCCCCAGCACACCACAAGGCAGGGACTGGTTCTGCAGCAACAGCAACTGCTGCAGTGACACTCGGCCAGTGCTGGCCCTGAGCAGATGCATCAGGCTCCACACACTCACTCTGCAACCCTTTGAAGAGGCCCCAGAACCAACATGAGGCAGGTTCCTGTTGGTGCGTGGAGACAGTGAGCCAGGAACTTGAGGCCCGCAGCCTTGCAAGCCTGCCCATTTGACCCTCCCAGGCCTGTGCTCTCTGGGCCCCAGTTCCCCATACCAAAAATGAAGGGCTCTGAGGGACGAGGTCTCTAGAGGCCCAGGACACAGAGATGGCAGGGAGAAAAGGGATTGGTGGGCCTGGGCAGGGTCTAGTCCTGGCTCTGCCACTGACTGCCCTAGCAGTCTGGGGCACCTGTTCAACCTGACACTTTATTTCCTCATCGACACATAGAGATATTCCACTTTTCCCCATACAGCGGTTCTGAATGGGAAGCACCTGATGCAAGACCAGGTGCACAATAGGTACAACAGACCCTGGAACAATGCAGCGGTTGGGGGCGCAGATCCCTGAGCAGTCGAAAATCCACACATTACTTTACAGTCAGCTCTCCATATCCATAATTTTGCATCCAAGGATTCAGCCAACCTGAGGTCATGTAGTACTATAGTATGTATCGAAAAAAAATCCACATATAAATGGACCCTCACATTTGAAACCTCAGTTCAAAGGGTCAACTCTACTCAGAAACAGCAGTCACAGATAAAAAGAATTCAGAGAGATGACAGGGGAATGCACAGCAGCTGGGGTCTCTTTTGGCTAAGGCTGGGACACTGGTGTCCTGGAAATCACCAGGTTCCTGCCCATGAAATCCTATTTGTGTGCAAGACTCAGGCTGGGACTCCAGTGAGTTCTGGGGAGAGAACAGGGACTTCTGGGGCCTTCCTGGCCCCGTGGGCCACCCCTAGGTAACTTCTACCTCATGAAGCAGCCTGACCATGCTTTCATGGGCTCTGTCACCAGCCTGTCTCTCTCATGGAGCTTCTCCTACAGGGAAAGGTCCATAGACAAGGGTCACCCTGCTCAGTTAGGGTCAGGAAGGTGGTGGGCGGGTCCCCACTCCAGAGAGGCCCTTGGCGGATGACTGGGCTGGAGAACCCATCCAGGGAAAAGAAGGAGGGACTGGGGCAGTTCAGCATGGGGCACAAAGCCTTCGGGGACCGAGTCAGTATCCACAATTCCCCTGGGCCTGTCGCTGGGCAAGGGGTGCAGCCTGGGAGGCACCACAGAGTCCCATGGGTACCACACACTGCCCAGGTATGCACCACCTGTTGGGCATTCTCCTCAGGTAGCTGTGAGGACGGAGTGTCTATATTTCCTGATAGAAGCACAGTAGAATCATTTTTACTTTCACCTCCCACTGTCAGGTCTCAACCCTACCTCCCCCACCCGCCCATGCAGCATCTCCCCACCTACAGACGTGCACTGGCCGCTGCCCTCCCAGAACCACCCACGACGTGGCCCCCACCCACTAGAACCTTCCATGGCCTGACTTGGCCTCAGAACCATCCCAGGCCCAGCCTCTGTCCCCTAGAACCCTTTAGGGCCTCACCTGGCCTCGCCGTCCAGAACCCTCCAAGGCGGGGCCCCCAACGCTCAGAAGCCTCCAGGGCACGACGTGGCCTCGACCAACAGAACTCTCCAGGGCTTGTCCATGGCCCCTGCCCCCAGGAACCCTCCAGGACCCGGAGTGGCCTCGCCCCCCAAGAACCCGGCCCCGGGCCGCGAGCCGGACTACCGTCGTCTCGTCGACAGGACACCACAGGACAGGTCACGGGCAAGGTCACTCGCCGCCGTGAGGAGCGGCCCCCGGTGTGGCATCGGGACACCCGGACCCTATGGGCCACCGTGGCCGCGCGCCCGTCCCTGTATGGCAGGCACGACCCCGGACCGCTCTCACCTGTCATGGCGGCGGCACGCCGTGCACCCAGCTGGCCCGGCCAGTCCCCCTGACGCCGTCAGTCAGCCTGGCTGTCCATCCGCTGCCAGTCGACCCCTGTGACGACCGCCCGCTCCTTCCCTGTGAGCCCCGCCCCCGGCATCATCGCGGCTAAGCCCTAACCCCGCCCTCACTGAGCCCGCCCCTTCCCGGTAGGCCCAGTCCGTAGCGTCGGCTGCGTCGCCTTGAGGGCTCTAAATCCCCATTCCTCACTCGAGCCCCGCTTCCGAACGCGTGGGCTACGAACGCTGCCGAGCCCTTAGCCCCTCCCCTCACTGAGCCCGGCCTTCCGAGCGCCCGGGGCATCGGCTTTGTCACCGCGAGAGCTCTAAACCCCGGCCTCACTGAGCCCCGCCCTTACTGAGCCCCACCCTCGCGGACGTTAGCTCTGTTGCTGCCACAGCTCTTGAGCCCCGCCCCTCGCTGAGCCCGGTCCTCATCAGTTACTGGGCCTCCGGAAGCCTTAAGCCTTGAGCCTAGCTCCCGCCCGCAAGGGGCACTCTCAGCTCCGCCTCTCACTGAGTTCCGCCGCCGCTGTCCTAGGCTACGTCACCACCAGATCCCTGAGCCCCGCCCTTTTCCACGCGGCCCCGCCCCCGTCTGCGTCGATGGCGTCGCCGCGACCACTCTAAATGCCGACCCCATTCTAGCCCCGCCCACTCCGGCCCCAGCTACGTCGCCGCGCAACTCTGAGTCCCGCCCCTCACCCGAGCCTCAGCTGGGTCTCTGGCGCAGCCTCCTTTATAGCCTATGTTCTCCGTCCTGGCCTTTACCCACTTTGGACCCATTCAGTCTTGGCCTCACGGGGCGGCCAGGGTCCGGACCTGGCTGAGCGCTTCCGGGCACATGCGCCGACCCCCCACCCCATGAAGGAACTGGAGGACGGGTGCAGCTGTCGGATGGAAACCCCAAAACTCTTGGGCCGAGTCGTGGTGGCCACCACGGGAACCATCCCCGCTCTGAACACTGAAAGTGAGTCTGGCCCGGCTTACCGGAAAACCCCAGCCGGGTCCTACCCCAGTCCGTGGGACAACACGGGCAGTGCCAACCTGGGGCAGAAGGGCTGTATAGCATGACCTGGGGGTGCACTAGGGGAAGTCCAGGCCTGCTCAAGGTCCCACGGCCGCCCTCCTGGAGGGGGCCTCCTGCCCACCAGTGGAACTGGCCTCACACCCCCTCCCCCATTACTCTGCATCCCTCATGCTGGGTCATGACTCTGCAGACAAAAAGTGTTGCCTGTGACATCCCAGTAAACATAAATGTTACCCACTATTAAGCCATTAGGCACTGCAGCACCCCCCTTGGGGGGAATTCAGGATGGAGAAAAACAGGATACAGGCCCCAGATAGATGAGATGCATATCTAAGGAATAATTTCAGTAAGCCCAGATTCTTGTATCTTCCCAAACAGAAAAGCACTAAGATCATTAGCTTGACATGTCTGTTTTTGTGATTAGTAATCTTTTGATATTAGACTGCATGGGTTTTTTGGTGTTTCTTTGTGTTTTCTTTCTTCAGCAAAAACTCTTGTGTATCCTGGCTCCTGTCAACTGGAAAAAATGCACAACCTAAAAGTTGAGAATTATGTTTTATTTGGTAGACTTTCTGAGGATTTCAAGCCTGGGAGGTAGCCTCTCAGATAGCTCTGAGGGACTGCTCCAAATAGGTAAGGGAGGCGCCACGATATATAGGAGTTTTGCAACAAGGACCAGGTAGTTGGGACATCAAAAGATTACTGTATAAGACTTCCCTGGTGGCGCTGTGGTTAAGAATCCGCCTGCCAATTCAGGGACACAGGTTCGAGCCCTGGTCCAGGAAGATCCCACATGTAGCGGAGCAACTAAGCCTGTGCACCACAACTACTGAGCCTGCTCTCTAGAGTCCGTACTACTGAGCCCACACGCCACAACTACTGAAGCCCGCACACCACAACTACTGAAACCCCTGCACCTAGAGCCTGTGCTCGGCAACAAGAAGCCAGTGCAATGAGAAGCCTGTGGACCGCAATGAATAGACCCCACTGACAGCAACTAGAGAAAACCCGTGCGCAGCAGCCCCAAAATAAATAAATAAGTAAATTTTATGTTAAAAAAAAAAGATTACTGTTTGTTAAAGAAAAACAGGTATCTCAAGTTGATGAATTTAGTGCTTTTCTTTGTATAGGAAGATGCAAGAGTCTGGGCTCATCGAAATCATCCCTTTGATATGCCCCTTACCTATCTATGGCCAGTATCCTTTTCTTTCCCATCCTGAGTTCCCTGACGGTGCACTGCTGGGGTTGGCTGCAGTGGCTGAGGGTTTGGGGAGTAAGGGGTAGTCCGTTTGTCTGCATCCTGAGTTCCCTCAGCGCTCTCCATAGGGGGCAGTGGTATCGGCTGATGACTGCAACATCTTTTTTGGGGGGGGGGGG